ATATATATATATATATTAAATATATTTTAAAACAATAACTTGCCCATTGTTGATGCCGACATAGTGACGCATCTCGAAGGTGGTGTACTAAAGTTCCTGCAACTACCTCCAACTACAATCACTCCCATACATAATGCAACAGGCATTGCATCTCAATGAACTATGTAGTCCTCTCCTGCCTGTGAGACAAAGTCATGTATGTGTACTCAATAATTCATAGTGGATTGTTTTAACTGCGCTAGGACCCATGACTTTCCCCCTTTCTGGGTTTTTCATGTAATTTTTTTTTTATCATTTCCACTTGTCGCTACTACTATCGGAGTATGTGATGGATTCTCATATATCGCTGAGACGATAATTCATTGCTCTGATGTCAAGAATTCTCTTGCACTCATCAAGTACGACAAAGAAGAATTCATCTATCGCAAACATTTTTTAATGCGCATATTACAATAAATTAACTATATACAATAAATATTGTAAAGTCATAATTAGGAGAGTAATTAAATTACAAAGTGTGAAACTATCATAGAAGATTTAGCAAATTCACCCCTGACTTAAAAATTCTTAATAAAAAGGAAAAAAAAAGCCATTTTATCCCTCTTTTAACAATATGAATGAAGAGGAAAGTACAACTAAATTCACCCCTGAAAAATTCTTGATAAAAAGGAAAAAAAAGCCATTTGATCCTTCTTTTAACAATATGAATGAAGAGGAAAGTACAACTAAAACAAAATAGCTGGAAAAAAAATAAAATTAAATGATGCAGAAACAAAACTAACATATGACATCAAAATTCATCAAATACAAATTTATGATCACCAACTTATCATAATAAACATTACCATTCTATAAACTGTATTCCTTTGGAATGTTTCACATTTATAAATTAAATTAGGGATATGTTTATTTTGTTTGAAAATTATTGCCCTTCAAGAAATAGAGAAAAAAAATCACACAACATGCAACCTCATCAACCAACTATAATTATTTTTCGCCTAAATTGCTCCGGCACCGCTGTCTATTAGTTTTGTCCAGCTCAATAAACCAATAAAATTTACCCAAATATATTTATCCACTTATGCTGCGAGGTGGCCAACATGCACTGAGCTACAACACCCGTCCTCCACGTATCCGGCACGTGGCATTTCAGCTAAAATTTAAAAACGCAAAATTCCAAAATTTTTATCAATTCTCCGTTCACAATTATCATCTTTATAACCGTCATCTCCCCATTCTTTCCTGCATCAATTTAAAAATTTTATCTGTACTTGAATCTTAGTCTCGAAGCTATGGATAGCGTTACACCGTCCAGCACTTACCTCCACGGCGAACACCCACCACGAACGGGGGAACAAGATGAAGATCACCATGAGAAGAAGCCGGTGTTGAAGAAGGTAATGGACAAGGTGAAGAAGATAAAGAAAGCCATCAGCAAGAAATCTCCCCGCCATGGCAAAGAAGGTGACGGTGATGATCACCACCAGGAAGGCGACTTGGATGAAGAGGAGGAGGAATTCGAGGAGGATGATGAGATTAATGAAGACCGCGCGGTCCATGGCGGCTCAGGTGCGTACTCTGTTCCTATATTTTATATTTCACTTTATACAGTTTAAACAGACTTAACATGGACATGACTGTAAATGACAGGAGCCGCTGGTGCTGGAATTGCTGCGAGGGAAATACCGGGTGGAGAAGAAGCTACGAAGGGAGCTGGTGATGGTTTGAGTTTTATCAGGGAACAATTCGATAAAAATCAAGCCAAGCCCAGGACTTATAACGAAACGGACACCACGACTGAACAAGGTCGAAGCTTGCCAAACCCCATAATTGAACCAAAACGAGGTATGCCGTTATCTTTGCAATCGTTTTCTTAATTTAACTTGAAGAGAAGAGAACAAAAAAAAAAAGAGTGTGGATAAGAGTGTGGATAAATCTGTTACTTCTCTGTTTTAACGAACTTATATGGCTATTAAAGAAAATGAGAGTTCTGCTACTGGAGTGAATGAAGTTTCGAGAGGAGGAGAAACTGCAGAGGGAGTTGGAGATGGCTCGCCCCTGACAACGGAGAAGTTTGTTGGGGATCTAACCGCGCCCACTGATGATCCTAAAACGAAATGGGGAATTGAACAGAGTCGAGGTTACCATTTATCCGAAGTTGTTAATATACAAGTTTTGGTATATAGCTTTAGCTTGCTCTGTTTAAACAAAATTTGCTTCGCTGTTACAGCGTATGAGAGTCCCGCTACTAATGTGAGAACTGGGGAGAATGAGGGTGCTGAGAGAGTTAGCGATGGCTTGGGTATAATCAAGGAAGAGTCTGTTGAGGATCCAGGAGCTCCCAGAAATGAAGGTAAATAGAATATAGGAATTGAACAAGGTCTTCATTAATATTTTCATTATTAATTAAATTTAATTTGCAAATAAAACCCACATGCAAAAATATTAAATGAGGATTCATAAATTTGCATGGTGGGGCCATCACGTGTCAAATGGGTCTCACTGCACGTGACATTTCGCCGTTGGATGCATCCGAAGTTTGTATGTAATATTTCTTCCAATTGAAAAAATATTTCATACGGACCTCAGATGCTATTTGCGTTCGTTGGCTAGGCTAATGGTGGGTCCATGTCAATTGGATTCCACTGCAATACAGTGCGTTCAAGGCGGTCGGGCTTGCCTGCTTCACAGGTGACCCTATTATTGAAATTTTGATGCATACCTAGTCTTTATGTAATATTTTTTCAATTGAAAAAATATTACATACATACATCAGATCCTATTTAGTTCGGAGTCAAACGGTGAAGCATCACTGTGAACATAACTTATGGTTGCCCTGTTTTGGTCTAAACCCTAAAGTCTAATTTAAATGGCGATGGCAGTGTATGAGAGTCCAACTACTGGTGCGAGAACTGGAGCGAGTGAGAGAGTTAAAAATGGTTTAGCTTTGATTACCGACGACTTTATTCAGGATTCATCTCCGCCCTCAACTGAAGCTGAAACTAACACAAGAAGTGAACTGACCCGAGGTTTTCCATTTATTTTATCCTTGTTTTTATTTTTAAAAATTGGAAGAGCCAATGTGTGCACATAACCTTAAATTGGCCTGTTATAACACAACTCACTTCGCCATGGCAGCGAATGAGAGTCCAACTTCAGGTGCGCGAACTGGAGCTAATCAAACGTTGGGAGAAGGAAGAGAAGATGCTAAGGGAGTTACAGATGGTCTAGGCTTGCTCTCAAAGGATTTCGTTAGAGATCCAGCTGCGACCAGGAGTAATGATGATTATGAAACAAATAAGATAATTGAACAGAGTCAAGGTTTGCCATTTTCATATTCATCATACAATATTAAATTGTTATATAAAATTTCTATTTTTTTTAACTTAATTTACATGGCTATTGTAGTACATTTGAGTCCGACTAGTGCTAGATCTGGGATGAATGAATTGTCCGGAAGAGCTGAAGAGGGTGCTGAGGCCGTTAGCGATGGCTTGGGTTTGGTCACCGACATGGAGTTGGTTGAGGATCCAGCTGCGCCCAAAGATGAAGCTGAAAAGAACACGAATACTGAACAGGGACGAGGTTTGTCATTTACTTTTTTCACTTAGTAGCCGAGGCAGGGGAGGGGGTGAAAGTGCTAACGCTACCATTCGTTTTCCAAATTCTTTCTTGCCTTCACTGAAGGAAAAGAGGTTGAGATTGCGCCGGAGCTCTGCCGTTCCTTGGAGGCCATGACCGTCTCCCCCCAAAACGAAAGAGGAGAAGCCGAGCTTCCTAAAGGCGGAAATAACAGCTACACTGGCATGGTTTCGTCGGCAGCTTCCAAGGTGTACGAAATGGTGACCGATGCAGGTACAGCAGTGATCTCTAAGGTAAAGCCTGAGGCTAGCAAAGACGGTGAAGGTGAAGCGGTTGTGAATCAGAGCAAGGGACGTTCAATTACGGACTATATAACGGAGAAGCTGACGCCAGGCGAGGACGAAAAGACTCTTTCGGAATTGATAACGGAGGCTGGACAGAGGAGAAATAATGAAACAGTGGAAGTACCGCGGCAAGCTGTGGCGCCCTCCGGCGAGGAGGAAAGGGGAACGGGCGTAGTAGATAAAATAAAAGAGACTTTTACTTCACTTCTTGGCGGTGGCGGGGGTTCTCCAAAGTCGCCGGCTGCGGGAACTCAACGAAAAGGTGAGACTATTTTAGTTCGGCATCTCATTACCAATTTACTAAATGTTGCATGCTATGTCACCTTAAATCAGGACTCTAATCAGAGCGTGCCACGTATACAAGTGAAAGTGGCTTATTGGAGTTGCATTAGACTTCGCTTAGAAATGAATGATATTTTGATATTATTGCCCCATATAACAAATTATGATGAAATCCACACTTATTTATGTATCTCATCTATATGTAATGAATTTTTTCTCCTAAAATCCGCGTAGGTTGTTGGAAGCGGCATGCACTGCTTAGTAGATTTGAATAAAGTTTTGTATCTTTTTCTTCATATAAGATTATACTTAAATGAAATATTTAATTTGTGTGTGATGCAGAGACAGAGTATAACGATGACTTTCTTGGCCGTCCACCTGAAGCAATCAGCCAAGAGAAGGGATCTAATGAGGAGCTGCCAACTTCATATCATTGATGATGCCAATATAATTTAACAAAATGCTATAATGGAGGATGTACATCTGTTTTTCCCGATTTTTTGTTTGTCAATTTCATCATCTATCTTTTTATTTTCGCAATTCTAGTTTACTTGTTTGATGCTTGTCGCCTTTATGTGATGACGAATGCTTTTCTTTCAATAAAAGATTCATCATTTTCTTTGTTTTTTAGTTTTGGATTTTCATTGAAAAACAAATATGTTTGGAAGATTTAAAGTGATAGGCTGGACACATAAAAATATATTTCATTTGAATAAAACAAAATTTACTTGCAGTTATTACGTGCAGCTGAGATAATTGCGGGATAGGTGTCCATTTGGGGAAAATTTTGCGTATAAGTGTGGGGCTGCGTACATTTCAATTATATGGAGGTTATAAAGAGGTTATATCTGTGTTGTACCTATATAACATCCCTATAATTTTTCTATAACACCTAAAATATACGCAGTTGCGTACTTGTTACGTACGCAAATTTTTCCCGTGTATTTGATGGTATTTGGGCGATGCTATAATATTATTTCCTGTGCATTTGATGGTATTTGGGCGATGCTATAATATTATTTTAATATTATACATTTAAAAACCAAACATCTTTCAATTCATTATTATAATAAACATTTGTAGCTGCATGTAAAATTGAAGTTTTGACATTAATCCTAATTGTCGGCAAGCAACCGTTTTCTTTAGTTAAGCATCACAAGGGCTAAAAATTAAGGAAAAAAAAAAAACTCTCCAATAACAATGTAAAAAATAAAAAACCATCTGTCCATATATAGTGAGGCAAAAAATCATCGAATGACCTATATATAATGATCAATTAATATGAATATCAAACAACTAATTTTAAATTTTGCCAATTTTAAAGTGCTTTGAGAAGCCCTAAATTTAAAAAGTATTTAAGTTGGTTTCGAAGATCATATTTATGAAACTTTAGCACCTAAAATAGAAAGTTTATGGGAGAATCTATAGTAGTGTATACGCTTAATATTTTATTACCCTCATTCCTTTATCACTAATCTTAAATGCTCTTAATACCTCTCAAATTTATAAAAAGGTACTCTCCATATATCCTAGAAAGTAAGATGCATTTCAAACTACACAAGTTTAGGTGCTGGATAATAGTAGAGATAAACAAACGTAAGGATTATGAGATCTTACCATTGCAATCTTGTGAAGGAACTCCTCAAAGGAATGCCTCGGCATGCTATACTATTGTTGTTATCTATGTGATAGGATACACAAGGATTAGGATGTTAAAAATCTAATTTTTGTCATGCATCTAGCATGGAACGTGTTGTTGGTGATTCATGTGGATATACAATAGAAGCCTTGCCATGTTTTTTCTTGCCGAAGTAGCGGGCATGTCAAAGAGTTGATGAAAAATATTGTAAGGACAAATTTTTGAAGCAATTGTTAGCAACATCAAGTTCGTAAATATAAAAGAGATTGTTAGAGAATGTAAAGGTTGCAAGGGAATGTAAGCCTACAGGCTTGGGTAGGTAGAATGTCCTAACTAACTTGTGATAGTAACAATGTGCTCATTTTCAATCATAATCTATTATATGAGGCATTGCTATATTGTTTTTAATGTTGGAAGTGAGATGAGATGATGCATTAGTCAAAAGTACTGTTTTTATGAGGATGGTGGTCTTTTCGAGAGCAAATCATTTTGAGTGTGTGAATTAAGCGAAGTTGGTTTGTGAGAAAGATTTGCAATGTGCCAATAAAGAACATTTGAATGCCTCCTTTAGTTCTAGTTTCGGCAACCTACGAAATGACTTCCCCTTAAAAAAATTGGCGGATCTCCCTATTTTTGAAGGAAACTTATATTGTACCTATCACATATGAGTAGGCCATGTTATGAGGGGCTGATGGAAATTTTTGCAATGTTGATTTTCTTATTGTAATGCAAGTACAAGATCATTTGTATCGGTGCAACACAGGTTAGTCAATGTAGCTATTTGAAAGGCTTCATATATCAAGGGAAGATTATTGAGAACATCTCTAAAAATATCTTCATATTTTATACTTAATTTGGCTACGATGATTTTGTCGATAGGGGAGCTGTCATCCTTCTTAACAGTATCCAGACCACAGTGGGGAGCATCTAAAGCATCTCCAACCAGCAAAAAAAGGAGAGGGGGTGGAGTATAGGAAACAAGACTCTTAACAGTATACAGGCCATTTCTTGCAAGCCAATTTGCAGGTTGGTTTCCTTCCTTGTAGATGAAAGCCAATTGAGCCTTGATAGTAGACAGCATGCACATAATCTTGTTAGCCCATTGAGGATGACACCAAGAAGCTTGTCTTCCATCTTGTAACATCTGCAAAAGTACCTCAAAATCCCCCTCAATAATTAAATTGTGCCAGTGGTTCATCTTAGCAAGAGTGATGGCCCAATAGACAACAATTAATTCAGCTTCAAGAGCATCAACTGCACAAACAGGAATATATATATATATATATATATATATATATATATATAATAATATAAAAACAATATGTTTTATATTTGAAAAATGAGATCGTATGGATCTCATTCATTTAATAGTTTAAGCAAAAGAGCACAACACCGCAAGTGGTGCACCTATCATGAGGAATAGACACATTACTTGATAATGATACTCGATTAAATACACTAATAAATTTATGACATTCGTTTGGTCTGCGAACCATTTATTTTGACAGACAAATTCCCCTTTATAATATAAAGATTAGATAGGGTTTATTTTGCCTGGGTTCTAAAGTTTCCCATAGAGACAATCTTTTATAGTTAATTACATCTTAAGTAATTGAAATCACTTAAGAAACTCTCGATCTAAATCAGAGGTACTAGTCTTCAAGAATTCGACATTCAAGTTTTCGCGATAGGACATAGAAAGTCAAGTAGGAGTGGATCAATCGGGAGCAGCTATTTTTGAAGCCAAATGAGTGAGGACTAGGGATGCCATGAAATAGAGGCAAACATCGATGACTTCCCATACTATTCTATTGTTGGGCTTTAAATTTTAGAAGAGAATTCAATTAAATTTCAATCCTGTCAATTATTAATTATAGGATTTACACTTACATAATATCCAATTATGCAGAAGACCTAGGAGATATGAGGATTTACATCATATCAAATAACGACCTTGGAATCTTAAAGTGAGTTAGAGCTTATATTGTACGATGTGCAAAAGCCTAATTGTTAAAGTGAGGATTAATGTCGCACTAGGTGGACCACCTCAAAGTCCTATGGCTTATGTTATTTAAACTAAGAAACAGATTTAGTTGATGTAGATATGCTTTGCTATTATAGATCTGTTGTCCTTCGTCCATTATAGCTCTAAGTACCTCTTAGTAGCATCTCTGGGATTATGTATGTTATGTTTTATATCTTTAATTTTGATCATTATTAATCCAATTAATTAAAAGGTTTGTGTTCAATTTTATAGTGATCCACCCTATGTAAACTGACTTCTCTTCTCTATCCTAAAAGGTCTGACAACTCATATAAATGCAAAAGTAAAGAAATGCTTTAAAATAAAATAATGAGATTACAATAAATAAATGTTTACATGGGAATCCACTACCTCTGCATAGATAGTATTTTAAGAATAGTATACTTGCAGAAAATTCAAATTTCAAGAATTTAATTAAATTGCTAAGAAAATACGGTACAAGGTCGTCCAAAAGTATAAGCAAAGTGAATCGAGATAAAATCTTGTATGAAGAAAATTAAATAAAGCGTCAGAAAACACGAGCAAGTAAAACAAAACCCCCAGTCACTTATGAAAGTTAAATAAATTTTAAAGTCTTAAAAAAGATTTTTTTCATATTTTCTCATTAAAATAATTATATTAAATAAATTAAAAATCACAAAAATACATTATTTAATTCTCTAAGTTTTCTAAACTCAGAGGAGTCTAATAAAAGTATAAAAATAATTTTTGAAATTAAAACGCTATTTTCTATTTAGATAAATCATGAAAATTGATCAAAAATAAAATAATAATAATAGAAATTTGATTCAAAAAATCATGAAATTTTGTCTAAGTGTTTCTCTGACCTTAAGAAACCTCTAACAAATTTTTCATAAATATAATTTTTTTTTTGGATAATTAAATAAATTAACTTTTGAAAATCTTATTTTCTAATTATAAATAATTATGAGAGGTCAACATATCCTCCTCTAGCATTTTAATTACCTCATGGACATAACACTTTTAACCCTCAAAGTCATTTGAGTTGTGTTTAAAGAGATGAGGTGAAGTCCCCCAAGGGCAAGATAGTCATCTTGGACGTTGGTGCCTTAATTAAAATTTAGGGTTAACCAGCGATAAATGGGTAACTTTGATCCTGATAATTGTGTTTGGATGGTTGAAATACAATGAGATTCTAAGGTAGAAACTTACCCTCCACCTTTGTACAATATCAACAGATAGTAATCTCCCCCAATCTTCATTACTTGGAAGTCAACTAATATCAAAAGTTTAAGAAAGTTGTCTTAAGTGAGGGGCTTAACCTAAAAGGATGATAATTTAATTTCCTTAAGCCCAAAATTGATGATAATGTGATCTTTAAATTAAAATACATGTTACTTAAATTAAAATCTTAACTTTCACCAAAATCCTCATTATGATTGTTAAGGGCTTGGTAGTGACATAGGCTCAATATCTAAACTCAACTGATTGGATTTAGAAGATGATATGATTGGTGAATAATATCTTTAATCACTACAAGCCTGACCTTAATTGTGGACACCACAAACTTAAATGACTTAAACTTGCCTTAAGGGCACTCTCTCACATAACTCTTAAATGAAACATCAATTGTTTAATTGAGTACCCTATCCTTGAGATAACTAAATTGTTAAGCTTTAATGAGCAATGGGGTAGCCACACGCTAAATACACTCTAAACTTGGATGATTATTGAAACATTATGATAAGTTCAGAAATGAACTCAAAATAATTCAAGAGATCTTCAAAATAGTTTGGGGTCATATCTCGGGCAATTTGAAATCTTTTGGATGCATTAAAGAACAAATCGAACTTACCGTACTTTGTCCGAAAATCATCTACTAGGATCTTCCGAGATTCAACAAAGTCATAG